ATATATATATATATATATATATATATATATATATATATGCAGTAATGTATAATTATTTATCATGAATTGGTATTATAGTATTTACCATGAATAGATATTTATCATAAATAGATACCATCATCATTATCATCCTGAATCTATCTATTGCAGGGTAAAGGCCTCCACTTGAAAGTTAAGAAACATAAGCTACCATAATGGTCAAGGGCAGGTTGATGGGTAGATATTTTTGATTTATCAGTGTAATCCCGAAAGAAATAAAGTGACCAAAGTCATCAATTTAGTTTCTGTGCCTAAGGGAGGACAAAGACCTGGTTTTCCTGCTCATGAACTAGCACTTTAACTACTATGGCTGGCTGACTGGATGGATACGATGGATGGATGGATGGATGGATGTAGGAGCTCTGTATTTTTCTCTGTATGTGTGTGTTAGTAACTCTAAAATGGGTAATATGTACCAAATCTAGCAGAATTTTTTTTAAAATATAGAGCATGAACTTTTCTACTTAGTTTTTTGTTGGACTTCAGAGAGAAATGAAAGAAAAACAGCAGTTTTCTTTTTGTACTATTTTCCCATCACTGTTGGTTCCATTTTAGTGACATGTTATGATACAAGGTTGCTAGCACATTGTGTGATGTAGCTCATAAACATTACTTGGTTTTGCCATAGCATATTTCAACCCAGCCAATTATGGTTGCTTACCATAGGTAACTAATAGGTAAGCAACTATGGTTTGGTCAGTGTAGTGATTCAGCCATAAATACTGGCCTCTTAGTAGTAATCTGTGTAAGTAGCTGGGTTGTCTGAGATTCATCATATATCTTGAAACTTCAAAGATGATCCCTAGATAATTTTGATGTTTTAAACACAGATTATTAAGAAATTACAATCCTTGTTGAGTTACGGATATCATTTCTATTTCCGCCACCCAGCAGATATTGTGTTAATTGGGCATTCTGTCCTTACAGTTAAAATGGATGAAGTGATAGTTGCAATAATCTTACAAGTCAGTAAGAAATATCTCTATCTAAGATTTCAAAGGAACCCCCCCCCCTCCAAATAGGTTTCTTTTGCTGATGTTATTGTGCAATATTACCTCTTTTAGAGTTTCATATTATACTGAATGAGACAACTATTGTTTGCGTCAATCAATATTTTTCTTTTGCAAAATATTCCCTTGAGTAAACTTCCTGTATGATTAAGCACAGACCATTTAGATAATAGTTTGAAGTAAGCTACCCTGGTACTTTTGATACAATTTCAGGTCAGGGAACGTGGAATTATTCCTACCATTACACTTGACTCCAACAAACATTTTTCAAGAAAAGCTACAATCTTTTTTGGGTCAGCCTGTCAACAATGAAACAACAAATCAAGGAAACCTCAGATACAAACAACTGACAGGTGCACAGTTTTTTTTATATGAATTTGTTATTGTATTATATTTCTAATACCTTTATACAAATGTGTGATTTCCATATTAAAAGAAGTTGGAATTATCCTTAAATATTTTTATGCCTTTCTTATTATACATATTTATTTAATACACATTCACAAGGGCAACATGCTATCAATTCTTCCAAATGATGAAATATTCTTATACAATTTTTTTATCAATGTATATATTCCTGAACTAGATTTATAGAGGTAAAATATTTCTTCAAGTATTTCATATACCTGTGCCATGTTTTTAATAACGTTTTGATAATTTTCTAAAGATTTTTAGAAACATACACATATTATTTTAATAGCTTTCATTTTATGATCATTCATTTTCACTGATAAGGTGTCATCAGATAACATATCAAATTTGCTGGTCATTTTTTCACTGAAGCCTTTTCTGTACTTTATTGGTCTATATGAATGATTTTTGGAGATTTTTTTTCTATATTTAGATTCACTAATATTGTGCTTATACTTGTGTTACACCACTATAGTGTTTGTCTGAAAATATATTGAGTATTACAACTAATATAATAAGCCATTGTTATAAAAGATATATTAAAATCTTTTTATTCTAGTGATATTGTTATTGTTAAAAATTTTAAGCATGAGGCAACACAAAGACTCCACAATTTTTTGTTCTGGATCAAATGCAGCAACTGATAGACTCATCAAAATTCTGAATAAAATTTTCCTGGCATTAGCAAAGATCCTTAGCCATGTTAATATAAGTGAGGTAGCTCTTTGAAAGTAAAAACTGTCACATGTACCATGACATTCAGAATACAGAATGCAGCCTGAATGAAATGAAATGTATACAGTTGCAAAATGCAAATGAAAAACTCTCTGGAAATTATATTAGTAACTCAGAGTCGCTATCGTTTTGAACTAAAATATATTTCTACATTTAATCTTATATTTATTATTGTCTTTATTATCATTATTTATTATTTATTATTATTGTTTTTTTTGCTTGTCTTAGATCCTATTGAAGAAGAAGATGCAAATGCCCTTTTTAGTTCAGTAGAACAAATATTAAAAGCAGCTGTTATGGCAGAAGCAGACATTCTGTCAGAAACCTTTCAGGTTTTGATGGATTTTGCCAAGGATCATAGTAGAAAATTCTGCAGCTTGGTTCCTAATGGCTTATATCTCCCAGCACCACCTTTATATTGTCCTCAGCCAACATTTGTGAGTGAAGTGTGCATCTCAGTGTTGCATGAACATTTTCTTAATTTTCTTTTGTCTTGCTAATTTTTTTCTATTGCCCCCCATGCATGCACGCCCTCAGCACCCACCCTGCACCTGCGCAGCAGAGACCCATAGACCAACTGGCCGGCAGGAGGCATGCGCATATGCGTGGTGGAGCTGAACTAGGGTGACAGCTCACGTGCCCACCGAGAGGGCGCTGCGTGCCAGCTCTGGCACACGTGCCATAGGTTCGCCATCAGGGCTATAGACCATATAGATCTGAGTATATATATTTATCTATATTTATATGATCATAAAACACATTTGTAAATACTAGGAAACTGTAGTGCTTTTCTTTTCACACTTTAGTAAATCAAAGGAATTAGGGAAATAGGATGGGTAATTTGTTTTGGGCTTTCCCTTTCCTTGGGAATGTTCATATTGTAAAACTTTTCAATTTTATAATAATCTAGGAAGAATATGCTGATGTACCATTAAGAATCGAGAGAGACTGCAGACAGAAAATATCTGGAATTATTCAACGGATTCTTCTTCTTTTCCGGGCTGCTCATTGTTCTTTTGCTGCTGCTCAGTGGTATATTGCGCGGCTGAAACATGCACGAAGAGTCATGCAAAAGGTACATATTATTTTTAATAGTATGCANTGTTTTCGTCGCGCTGTGATGACGTCAAATGCACGCTATCGTCGAGCGCGGTTTTGTCCTCCGCGATTTTGTGGTGGAACCAATTATAGACCTCAAGCGCAGTTCCTCAACCCCCAAGAGGAAGCAGTAAAAGACCTCTGCTCACAAACATGTTTGCTCCAACACCATCTCTCCAGATATCACAGATATGATGATTAAGTCACCAGGTCAATCCTCCAGTGGCTCTCAAGATGCTTCTGAAGGAACTAGCATGGGGAAATCTCAGAATAGATATATCTCTCTCTCCAATCTATTGTTCCCTGCTGAGGGCCATTCCTCAAAACTGGTTGAAGTGTTCCCCAGCCATGACAGGGTCAACATGAGAACTATTGCCATAAATTTGGGTTCTCAGAATCTTGTATCCACTTGCTGTTGGTAGCATAAATATATCTTCCTTGTGGGCTTTGTGCTAAGATTTTTAGGCTGCGGATCAGCCAATGCCTAGTCAATTCCAGAGCTGGCAGATTCTCCCAGATTCCTCTATGTGAAACTGGCTCCATTACTCCACACATGTGAAATATACCCTGACCATCATCTTGGAGTCATTGTACAACACCATTGAAATTCTGCTAAAGCCTCATAGCTGGTGCTCTTTTAAATTGCAAATGAAAAAAGACTCTAATAATTAAATATTAGACTCAAAGGTCAACTTTGCGCTTCAAGCATCCAGACATAAGTGAGGCTGAAGAAAATGGATCAGATCAATCAATGACATATTCTTAAGACAGGTCTCAACAAAGGTACTATTTCTTTTACTATCGATAGTATCCTATTTGAATCAATGCTGCTGGCAACAGCAGTGTAGGAGAAGCCAAATAGGCAGGAATGTTGGGGATTATTGCCATTTTACTGTTTCCAGAATTGGCCATGAAGATACAGCCTCTTAAGTGCACTGGAGATGAAGCCATTCAGATTCCACAGGAATGGCATCAGGATGGAGACCTTCTCGTTGGTTCATTGATGTCTCTTGTTCAATACATGTTTCCCAAAGTTACTTTCGATAAACATCCATCTAAGGAATTCATTGACTTCCCATTGTAAGAAATCCTTCTCTTAGCTCATTTTAACTAATCCTGCTATTCATCTGTTAATGAATATAAATGTATCATGGACAGATTCTTAACATAGAATAGAATAGAATAGAATAGAATAGAATAGAATAGAATAGAATAGAATAGAATAGAATAGAATAGAATAGAATTTTTTATTGGCCAAGTGTAATTGTACACGCAAGTAGTTTGGTGCATATGCCCTCATTGTACATAAAAAGGCAAGATACATTTGTCAAGAATCATAAGGTACAACACAATGATAGTCATAGGGTACAAATAAGCAATCAGGAAACAATCGATATCAATATAAATCATCAGGATACAAGCAACCAAGTTACAGTCCTGCAGTCATAAGTGGGAGGAGATGGATAATTGGAACAGAGAGAACACTAATAGTAATAGTAATGCAGCCTTGGTGAATAGTTTGACAGTGGTAAGGGAATTATTTGTTTAGCAGAGTGATGGCGTTCTTGTGTCCAGTTGTCTTGGTGTGAAGTGCTGTATAGTGTGGTTTTTGAGGGTAGGAGTTGAAACAATTTATGTCCAGGATGCAAGAGGTCTGTAAATATTTTCACAGCCCTCTGTTTGACTCAATGGAAGGCAGGTTGGTAGTACCAGTAATTGTTTTTTCTGCAGTTCTAATTATCCGTTGGAAGTCTGCGTCTATCTTCTTGGGTTACAGAACCAAGTCAGACAGTTATATAGTTGCGATGACAGACTTGATAATTCCTCTGTACAATTGTAAACAGCAGCTTGAGCTTCCTGAGTTGGCACAGAAAGAACATTCTTTGTCAAACATCAGCTTCGTAAATTATTTGTTAATTCATCATCCCCTTTTCTAATTAAACCGAAATACGATAGACTAGAACAAACAGTTATTCTCTTGAGAACTGAAAGCTCTTCCAACTTGGAGGAAAAAGACCCAGCCCTAATTCTCCATAACCTCATAGGCACTATAATATTTTAAATATAGGCATTGACTGTGGAATGAAAAATCATTTCCAAAATCTTAGGGTTACACTAGTTATTAATACCATGTCTCTATTATTTTTTTCGTGTATCACTGTCTTCTCTTCAGAGTTTTCTTATGGTGTATTTAATGATTACTACAATCCCTCCTTTTGTTTCATAGCAAGGAGCAAAATATTTGGCTTTTACAACACGGTTGATCTGATTGTACAGGAATTTTTTTCATTATAACATGAATGTTTTAACAGTATCACAGAGTGGGAAGGTACCATGGAGGTCTTCTAATCCAACCTCTGCTCAGGCAGGAAGTGCTCTCTTTTTTGACAAAACTGGCATGAAAACTTCAACATGAATTGTTTCTCCCTTTTAAGGGCAGGAAAAAAGGGATTTCTTCCGTAGATCTCTTCTACGTCACCACTATACAGATGTTTCTAAAATCTTATCCTCCCTTCCTTCTCTAAAGTCTTTCATGGTTCCTCCAATTTTTCCAAGGGAATGCATTACTTTTTTATTCAATCAAGTCCTTTAACATTTCTGGTTGTATCAGTTATCCACCACATTCTTTTTGGGTTATATGTTTAAGTATCTGTTAAAGGATATGATTAAACAAAGCACTTAATATAGGATATGGACCTTGAATCATAAAACTCTGAACTTCAGCATAGTTCTCTTGTCGATATGTCTTTCTTGTAGTATTTTTATCACTGGACATGTCTTCCTTAGTATGTAATGCATGGCACACTTCTCCTTTGAAACAAGTGACTTTTTTTACAGTGTGGTAACCAAGTTCTACCAACACATCTTGGCTTTAGTGTTTGCTGTAAACGACATCAACAAGGATCCTCACATCTTACCCAACTTCACTCTTGGATTCCACATCTATGACAGCTACTCTGACGCACTAATGACCTATCGTACCACTCTGGACCTGCTTTTTAAGTTGCATAAAATTGTCCCCAACTATATTTGTGGGACTGAAAAGAAAGTTGTGGGAATCATTGGAGGGATGAGTCCTGAAACATCCATACGCATGGCAGAAATTCTGCAGCTTTTCAAGATCCCACAGGTTGGAGCCCTAACTAAAGGCCTCAAAGTTAAGGCAATCACACATAATGTCTCTTTTTGAGTTCCTCTTCAAGAAACAACTTGATGGTTTATCAGTAAAGAGAGGAAATTAGAAATTAGAGTAAAGAGCAGTAAAGAAATTAGGGTAAAGGGTGGACTTTAATTAATCCATGTTTCCCTTCAGTATATCGCTGCTTTCAGTAACATGAATCATGACATACAGAATTTGAGTGCATGGTTGTTTGAACCTGTAGGCTTATGCTGGCTATAATTAACTGCCTCACTGATTTCAATTCATACATTTTAAGCATAATGTAGACAAACATCCAGATTTTATATTAAAGATGGAGAGGACAGCATATACATCACAGAAGTGAGTACATCCCTGCACATTTTGTAAATTTTTAAGTATATCTTTTCATATGACAACACTGAAGAAATGATACTTAACTACAATGTAAAGTAGTGAGTATACAGCTTGTAGAACAGTGTAAATGTGCTGACCCACTCAAAATAATGCAACATACAGCCATTAATGTCTAAACTTCTGGGAGATCTCTCAACCAAATCTATATTATTAAAGAACCATATCTTGAAAAATAGTTTAAATCAATAAAAACAGAACATATCCATCCATTATCTTTCTCTATAACTGTCTCTTTCTCTTATTCCTCCTTTCTTTCCTTTAGATTTCATATGGCTCATTTGAATTGGCAGCGGCTGATGAATCATGTGTCCCCCTTTTTTATTGATTTAAACTATTTTTCAAGATATGGTTCTTTAATAATATAGATTTGGTTGAGAGATCTCCCAGAAGTTTAGACATTAATGGCTGTATGTTGCATTATTTTGAGTGGGTCAGCACATTTACACTGTTCTACAAAC